ACGGTGAAGGCAAGAACAAGTGCAGGAGGGGTCGGGCTTTCTCAGGTCCGCCAGCACGAAGCACTCGTGAACGCGGACGTCGGACCTTCCCTGCGGCCGGACACCAAAACTCGTGAGGGGAATCGCCACCAGCACGGGCCATGGGTCAGGCCGCGCCCTGTGGCTAAGCCAAGCTCCCACAGATTTTTCTCCCACAAATTAAAACTGTTGTATTGCGTGGCCGTGGCTTGGCCATGTTGGATAGACAAATCAAAAGAAATGGGTTAAAGGGTTTTGTTGAAATGGCAGAGATTGGATTTTCTTGCCTGGACAAATCCTTACCTCTGAGAAGGAACCGCAGCTAACGTGTTGTTCAACCCAATGAACTGTCTTCTGCTTTCAAGGGCAATTCCGTTTAATTTCTTAAAATTGAAAATACTGAATTGAAAATATAAATTTAATTGAAAAATTTAAAATACTGAATTTTTAAACAAATTACAGAATTTTACATCTTGCTATTAGACACACTATAGAACTAGTCTTTGCAGAACTGGTTCCTGCCATAACAGGGCAGTTGTTGCAACTAACACACGAAGTCTCATTGGATTCTCTGTCACCCAGCTTGTGGCACAAATTCAAGCAGTGAGGAATATTCGTCCCTCAGATCGTGAAATGGGTCTAGCTCTAATGCTTTTCTCCACAGGAGGGCAGAATATTGACAGACATTTGCAGGGCGAAGATGACTGTCCTATACAGACAAAAGGAACCCCCAATCTGCTTCACTCTAACATTCCTGAAAGTCAAGAAAAAAAAAACTAGGAATGCCAATTTTCTTATCTGCACCTCTAAAATCAACTCAAGTTTGATGTCATCTTTGCTAATGAGAACTATCATACGGGGCAGCTGAAGGTCCACCCATCCACAAGCTCTGGTTTTCCTTCAGGAGGAGCTGCCAAACACCCCAGGCTGGAGAAGGCAGCGTCACCTCTTCTGCCACTGCTGTTGTACCTGGAGCTCTTAAGGCGGCCGCTTACACCAGCTCTGGGTGTGCAGAAGGGGATCCTACCTGCGGTGCCTCTGTGACCACCGTCGGCCCTGAAATAAGCACTTCCCTGGAGGAGGAGGCTGCTGCTTTCTGCTGCCTGGTCTGCGAGCACGAAGCACCCAGCAGAGCATGCAGCAGACATGGGGCTCTTCCCCCACTCACCCTGGCTATTGCTATGTTCCGCTCATGACACCACCTTCTTTTCCACTCCGTGTGCCAAGATGTAGATGTACAGTTCCCAAACTCTCCTTGGGTTTCTCCTCATTTTACCTTCCTGTTCTTCTCTGAACACACACCCCCCCCCGCCAAAACACTGCCTTTCCCTCAAGAAAAGGTTCTTTCAGACCCTTTGCCTCCCATCATTGCTTTCACAAGTCCCTATTAGAAAATCCAGTTTTTCAGTTTCCAGAAGCTTTTGCCCCATTCCAACAGCAGTAGGTGCCATCTCCCACATGCCCAGCATTGGCAAGTGGTTTGTGTCTCAGCTGACTTTCCCCCTTTCTTTGAATTCTGCATTAAGTCCTCACACTCTTTGCCCTATTACTTTCCCAGAGCCGTTAGGAGCAAAGACCCCATCAGGTGAGCATGGGAGGGAGAAAAAAGGGAGATAAGGTAAAGGAAACCACATGATTCGGCTGAATCAGAAGCCCCACGTTGGGACTGACTGGCTCTGCTGAGAAGGACATGGGGGTCCTGGTGGACAATAGGCTGAACGTCTGCGGTCTGTCCTGGCTGTGGTGAACGTACTGGGCTGTATTAACAGAAGTGCACCTGGTAGGTTAAAGGAAGTGATTGTTCCCTTTACTCAGCACTCATTAGATCACATCTGGGGTGCTGCATCTAGGTTTGGGCCTCGCAGTGCAAGAAAAACATTGATAAACTGGAATGAGTTCAGAGGAGGGCCATGAAGATGTTTGAGGCCTGGAGCATATGTCCTGTGAGGAGGGTGGAAGGAATGGGGCTTTTTCAGCATGGAGAAGAAGCAGAAGTGAGCTGAGGTAGATGTGAAGCAGCCGCCTGAATTTCTGATTAACGAATGGAGAAGAACGAGTATAAGAACGATCCATCCCAACGTGCCAGAAGTTGAGCAAGTACAGCAGGAGGCCAGGCTGGCTGAATGGGGAATTCTGGATTGAGTTTAAACACAAAAATGAAGAGCATGGAAGATGGAAGCAGCATTGAGCTACTCAAGAGACATACACAAACATTGCATGGACATACAGGGACAGAACTGGAAAAGCCAGAGTTCAGCTGGACTTGACTGAAGACCAAGGGAAGAAGGAAAAGTTCAGCATGTGAACACCTTGCCCTTCTCCCATCTGCTCCAGGTTTATAAAGAGGGAGCCATTCTCTGCCACAAGATGAATGAGGTTTATCTTAGTGTCCCTCCTCTTCTCCAAGTATAGAATCAGCACAACCCATGATCCACCTCACAGAGGCGCAGGATACACAGCTGAATGATGATGCCTTGGACCCCATCGTCTTTGGACCTGAAGCTCATCCTGCTCATTGCAGAGGTATGGGCCTTCAAGGCAGGCAGCCAAGTCAGGTCCAAAATCATCCCCACCTGCCCATTTCACTGCATCCCTCTTTCAGCCAGCGCCCTGCATGCTGTCGTGGCCAAAAAGCCACACACACTTTCTGAGATCCACCATTTGCAACCATGGAAAGGCAGAGTTCCCTTCCCTCCTGCTAAGGCAGACAGAATTCCCAGAGGGTCACTGTGGAGCTTATACCCACCAACAAGCTGTTGTGTAACATCGGATTAAAGGTGCTCTCGCAGGATGTGCTCCCATAGCTGGCACAGTGGTGGAGGCTCTTCACCCAGTAATTCCAAGCATGAACTTAATCGCTTCCCCAGAAGTGAGGAGGACAGTCAGGAAGCTGTAGCCTGCTGCTGTCCAGCAGTGCTTCACCTTCCTGTCTTACCCCTCCCTGGCCAAGGCCTTGCAAGACACAGGTGTTTGCATTTGCCAAGATCCAGCCATATTTTTCTGCCAGATGTCTTCTAGCAAGCAGCATGGGTCACCCTGTGAGCCAGCAGACGCAGGGAGGCTGGTAGGTCTGGGCATCGGGAAGGCAGGCAGGAGACAGGCTCAGCCTCATGCCTAAATCCAGGCCACTTTAAATTCAGAGGCTACTATCTTATGTTAATTAACAAAAATATGCATAGCAACCAGTGTGAAAGCACTTCAGCATCATTCCGATAGGTAGCCAGAGGCCTCCCCTTTGAGCTGAGACCTTGTTGCTCGCAGTGCACTGGTTTCTTCTGGATGTGCCCCTTCCCCAGTGCATCCTGGCTGTCCCGCTGGAGGCTTCTGGACCTCAAAGACCTGAAAGCCCCACTCACTTCTGCAAGGCTCGGGGCTGGTTGGTTCTGCACTGAGGTCTGCTCTGTGCTTCATTAGCTCAACTTCACATGTTCACGCAGGGTGTTTCCCCAAGTGATGGAGCCTCACTGTCTTCCAGGAAATAATCACAATAGCAACCGGCAAAAATCCCTGCACAGGGTTCATCATGCACAATGCTTCTGCAACTGAGGCCCTCACAGTCAGGGATGGAAATAACCCCATGCACCGAGATAGAACAGGGCTCTGAAAAGAGGATGTGGGGACAGCAGAAGTGATAACATCTCTCTCTGCCAGCTAAGGAGTGGCTGTG